CTTGCAAGCGGCCTTAAAGATCATCTAATTCCAACCCTCCAGCCATGGGCAGGGACACCTCACACTAGACCAGACTACTCAAAGCCCTGTCCAACCTGGCCTTGAACACTGACAGGGATAGAGCATCCACAACTTCTCTGGGCAACCTGTGTCAGTGTCTCATCACCCTCACAGTGCAGTATTTCTTCCTAATGCCTAAACTAAATCTACCTCTTGTCAGTTAAAGCCATTCCCCCTTGTTCTGTCACTAGAGCCCCTTGTGAGAATTCCCTCTTCAGATTCCCTATAGTGCCTCTGGAAGGCTGTGCTAAGGTCCCCCTGAGCCTTCTCCAGGCTGAACAAACCCAGCTCTCTTGGCCTGTCTGCATAGCAGAGGTGCTTCAGTGCCCTGATCATATTTGTGGCCTCCTCTGGCCTCACTTGAGCAGGTCCTTATACCTTTTGTGCTGGAGGCCCCAGAACTGGATGCAGGTGGAGTCTCTGCAGGTAGGGTCAGAGCAGAATAGAGGGGCAGGATCACCTCCCTCGACCTGATGGTCACGCTTCTTTTAATGAAGCCCAGCATACGGTTGGCTTTCTGGGCTGCACCATGTAGAGCTCTTGTCAACCAACACCCCCAAGTCCTTCTCCTCAAGGCTGCTCTCAATCCAGCCTCTGCCCAGCCTATAGTTGTGCCTGGGATTGCCCTGAGAAGCATGCAAAACTTCCAAAATGTCAGATCCAATTTTCACTATCTAATACCTAAAGCAAATCTTGGTATTGGTTTAAGCAGTCACCAATTTCTCCGTTTCTTTTCTTCTTACCTAAGATGCAGTCTCTTTACAAACTCATCTCTTAAACAACATACTGCTTGAATGACAAAGAAATATTGTCCATTTTTAGCAGATAAAACTGTTAATTAAGTCCATAGTACTGACATGAGAGGTCTTTTTATTTGCATTGTACTGGTTTCTGAATGTATTCTGTCAACAGGATTTATTAATCTATTAAATAGAAATATTCAAAGTTCTGGGTTGCTTGTTCAGGATGAAGCTAAATGTGAGAATTCAGAGATTTGTTTCCAACATTCTTATTCACAGGGTGGAGCTGCTAAATGGTAAAGGTAAACATCTCAGTAGCATAAACTCATCAAGAAGAAGGTACAAGTCTCCTTCTGTGCCCACTCTTTCTCCTAACTTCTGACCTCAGAAGGTAAAATGCGAGAGCATTATCATCTGCAGAAAGTGCACAGGGGAAAGAATACAACAGGAAATAAGTGAAATATTACCCTTCTGTAGTAGAGATGCAGAGGCCAAAGGCTCGTCCACAGTCCTTCGCCACCATTTTTGTCAGTGCGCATCAATACCACTCTCCATGTCACCAGCAAATATGTTGAACAGGATTGGTCCCAGCACTGACCCCTTAGGGACATCACTCATTACTGGTCTCCAGTTGGATACTGAGCTATTGACCACAACTGTCTTTGTGTGGCCATCCAGCCAATTCCTTATCCACTGAGCAGCCCATCCATGATATCTGTGCCTCTCTCTAAATTGGAGATGCATGGATACACAGGAATTGGCTGGCTCCTGCCAGAGGAGTCACTGGGGTACATGGGCCAGCCCACATGGAGTAATTGCAGTGTCCTGGGTGCTCATGCCTCTCACTGAGGATGGACAGGCAACAAGGCTGGGACAAGCAGGGCCCCCTCCACCAGGCCCTTCCTGGGCCAGCTGGTGGCCTTTTGCTGCCCAGCCCTCTTTCCAGAGTGCAGGATCACCTTGTTTATAGAGCGGATTTCTGCAGCCAGACGTGTCACCTCATCCCTCAGCTGCTGCATCTCTTCAGCTTGTCCTTTCCACAAATCAGGTGTGTTCCTGCAGTCATCAGGAAATCGGACCTTGTCAGATCTCTGCCCAGCAATGCGCGGAGCCTCCAAGGCCAGGAGCAGCACAAACAGTGATGCTCCAGCCCCTTTTCTTTCCCTGGTTTACAAGCGCTTCCTTCCCCCTCCAGGTTTAGCACAAGGCCCGGACAGGAGCAGAAGACACGAGCTCTGGGCGCTGTGCAAGTGAGAGCAAATAGCACGGGCTCATCTGCTCTTGGTGCCATCCGCAGACTTGCTAACGGCACATCAATACCACTCACTGTCATCAGCAAAGATGTTGAACAGGATTGGTCCCAACACTGACCCCTGAGGGTCACCACCTGTTACCCATCTCCACCTTGATGTTGAGCCATTGACCACAACTGTCTTTGTGTGGCCACGCAGCCAATTCCTTATCCACTGAGCAGTCCATCCATGAAATCTGTGCCCCTCTCTAAACTGGGAGACGCATGGATTCACAGGAATTGGCTGGCTCCTGCCAGAGGAGTCACTGGGGTGCATGGGCCAGCCCATACGGAGTCATTGCCATGTCCTGGGTGCTCATGCCTCTCACTGAGGATGGAAGCACGCAGCAGCCCCTTGGCACATTCCTGGGGCCCCTTTGGTGACCGGAGCTCCCCATGACAATGTGGAGACAGAGGGACAGAGCAAGCCAAAGCCCGATGCAGCCGCCGCCCCAGCCCCAGCCTGGTGTAACCCAGAGTCAGCACCCCTTTGCTTCCCCATGGGAACCTTCAGCTGACAGGGTTAACCAAAGACCAAGGCTTCGTTTCAAAGCATGACCTCACATGGAATGGAGCCGAGTCTGTTTGGCTTGGCTGTTCCAGCTCCTGCCTACCTGCGCAGGGGGACCTCAATGGGGGACACCCAGAGAGAAACTGAACAAGCCTTGAGCTCTGCAGGCACAGGTCAGCACCAGAGAAACGCCGGTGTATTTTCTGCACTGGCTAGTCACAAATGATAACCCAGAGCACTAAGTGGGCAGCGGGGTGTATCCCTGCCCCTTGCTCACCTGTGATGTCACAGTCATGGCTGCACCTTGTGTGGAGCCAGGAACCTGTGACATCAAGGTGGCTCCTACAGCACTTGGGCCACCACCTCCTGCCTGGTAGGAGTTTGCTGTGTTCTGGTGGCTGTGTGCCTGTGTCTGGCGTTCTCCTCCTGGCAGCTGGTTTGGGACTCTTGCCCAACTGCCCTCCCCCAGCCAGGCAACACTCCTGCTTCGGAAGGAGGACAGACAGGCTTGCAGGCGAGCTTCCTTTGTCCCCAAGATGCAAAAGGCTCGTCCAAGAGCACAGCGCGCTGCGCTCGTGAGGAGAGCCAGCAGCAGCAGCAGGGACAGACATGCAGCTGGGCCCATTGAGGTTCTCGGGAACAGGTACAAGGTTCCTCCTGGGACCATCAGCTGGAGGGTCAGGTCCCCAGAGCCTAAAGCAGGGGCTGGGGGGACACGATAGAGAAGCTGGCGAACACTGTAGGCAGCACAAGTCCCAGGGCTTGGGAAACCCACTGTGAGTGGGGAAGAGGCTCAGCTGAAAGCCCCTCTGGCCCCGGGGGCCAAACCCCACGCTCCTGCTGGAGGGCTCTGGCTGTGGAGCTGCAGAGGCCCTGGGAGGAAGAGGGGGCTTTGGATGAGGGCATCTGCTCCCCTCTGTCCGTAGGCCTCTCTTCTGGCCAAGGCCTTGGCTCATGTGGCAAGAAGGCAGTGCCAAACAGTGTCCTGCCTTTTCCCCTCCCATAGGTGCCCCCCCTCTCAGGAGGACCAGGGGACCAGCTGCGAAGAGCCAGCATGCTGCAGCTGCAGTGCTGCAGGCACAGAGCGTAAGTTCAGCACTGCCTTTCACCCCATGCTTGCACCAGGCCTGCCTGGCTCATCTGGGACCAACAGCACTGAATAGTCAGTATCATCCTGCCCCAAGAGCGGCCTGGGGCCATTTTGCCTCTGTGACCATGACGGAGCTGGCCACCGTGTCTCTAATAACCATGGGGCTACTGTAATAATCAGGGGGCACCCCCGGGTGGTAGAGATGCAGGGCCCGAAGCCTCATCCACAGTCCTTCCCCAGCCTTGCTGTCAGTGCCCTGCCTGCAAGGGGATCCTGCCGGGGCTCCGGCGAGAAACAAGCAACCCCCTCCAGGGCATAAGCGTGCCCCTGTCCGGGTCCCACAGGAAGGAAGTATGCAGGCCCAGCATCCACGTCCTCGCAGGGGTCGGCCATACGCCAGATGGGGCTCCTCAAGAAGGCTCCTCAGGCTTTTCTCCCATTTCTTTTCCCAGGGCTGGTATTCAGCTGTGCATACAGAATGGCAATGGCCGTGATCTACCTTCAGAGATACCTCAGAAGAGGCACCTCCATCCTGTGAGTACAACAGGTGTCTGTTACTGACATGGAGCTTGAGGGTGCCAGAGGGTCAGGGTGATCAGATGGGAAGCTGGTGGTGTTCCCCACCAGCAGAACCCGTGGCTCCCCTGCAAATTGTTGTTCAGCTGGTAAGAGAAATTCCTCTGGGCAGAGCTCTGCCTTGAGCACCGCTAACCCCAGGACTCTGTTTCAGGAATGAGGGGCTCTTCATGATCTTCTGCTTGATGATCCTTACTGCTCTCGGTTAGTATTTACCCACTGCCAGCTCAGAGGAGTGAGGTGCGAGCTTCAGCGTGAGGGAGAGGCGCTGAGGGCCCGTGTGGCCCATACAACATCTCACCTTTGTGGATGTGAGAGGTCACAAAATGCTCGCTGCATGCAGATGAAATGGGGCATAGCAGTGGGATGCAAAGCCTGGAACCAGGGCTGTGCAGTGCCCCTTGGCTCAGGGCGGTCCAAGAGTCTCTCCTTGGAGCTACCTCCTCCCCTGCACCCCATTGTGGTGTCCTCGGCTAACCCCTTGCCACCCTGGTGTGGGAGGAGACCATGTCACCACAGGGATCTTTAGAAAGGGCAGTAAAATGACTCTCATGGTGATGTTACAGCTGGTGCCTGGTGCGGGACCTCGCTGCTCTTTTGGCGGCTGCATGGAAAGAATGCACCACAGGTCAGTGGGACAGGAAAGTCCTGCCAGGGAGCACTGCAGGCAATGGGTGGGTGGGTGGGTGAATCGCCCGGTCCTCCGGTGCCAGGCAGTGATGCAAAGCAGCAGCTTCTGCTGTGCCTTCCTAGAGCTACCAGCTCGGGGAAGTCCCGGCTGCTGCGGGACTCCACCGATACCCTTTCCCTTCCAGGAGCAGCCTGCAGCTGACCTGAGTTCACTGTGGTAAGAGCCCTCTCCTCTCCCCAGCCCTGCAGCATGTTTGGTGGCGACAGCACGAGCAGATGAGCCCGTGCTATTTGCTCTCACTTGCACAGCGCCCAGAGCTCGTGTCTTCTGCTCCTGTCCGGGCCTTGTGCTAAACCTGGAGGGGGAAGGAAGCGCTTGTAAACCAGGGAAAGAAAAGGGGCTGGAGCATCACTGTTTGTGCTGCTCCTGGCCTTGGAGGCTCCGCGCATTGCTGGGCAGAGATCTGACAAGGTCCGATTTCCTGATGACTGCAGGAACGCACCTGATTTGTGGAAAGGACAAGCTGAAGAGATGCAGCAGCTGAGGGATGAGGTGACACGTCTGGCTGCAGAAATCCGCTCTATAAACAAGGTGATCCTGCACTCCGGAAAGAGGGCTGGGCAGCAAAAGGCCACCAGCTGGCCCAGGAAGGGCCTGGTGGAGGGGGCCCTGCTCGTCCCAGCCTACACACCCCTCCCTTGCCAGGGGCTGTGGGTTGAGCTTCTGCGCTGTAGAGTCCCTTCTCCTGGCCCGCTCTGACGTGGTTGTTTCCCTGTTCCTTGGTGTCTTCCCCAGGAAGTTCAGCAAATGAGAGAGGCAATATCTGAGCCCGTGGAGGTGCCTGACTGGGCTCTCAAAAGCACAGGTATGGGCAGCCCTTGGGTCCAGGCAGTTCATGTTGTGCTAGGCTCATGCTTGGCGTTCCTGAAAGCAGGGAGTGCTGCAGACACTGCTCTCCGAGGTAGAGAGAGGTGGGACAAAACCACGGGGCCCACGAGCATGACTGTAGCAGTGTGGCTCCCTTAGGCTCACCCCAGCCCTGATGCCAGAGCCCTCACTGCTGCCTCGGCCATGCCCCTGACAGCATTTCTGCCCTCTCCCACTCTGCGGAGCTTTCAGAGTGGGAGAGGGCAGAAATGCTGTCAGGGGCAATGGCCGACGGCAGCAGGGCCTTGCTTGGGTCTGCTGCCCTTGCCGTGGGGGTTCACTGTCCCCCAGCACCCACAGATCTCTTTGTGCGGCTGGGAGAGAGATGCCATCACCAAGCCTAGGGATCCCCTGTGTTTCTCCGGGCACCTCCAAGCATCCAGTGCTGCATGACTTAGCAGCCACATGCAGCCACCAGGTTCTCTGCACCTGGGGCCAGTTGCAGTCAGCTGCTCTCTTCTGCCCTCAGGGACTGCCATCGACCTGCAGAGATCATCCAGCACCTCTGCATGGCTCAGAAGGGTGTTTTGGTCCCTGTTTAGCCAACCCTTTGAGGATACCTTTGTGCAGGTACAGTAGCAGAAACCGTCAGTGCTGCTTCTCTTGCCTCCCTGGATCAAGTTGGAGCCAAGCCCTGGGTCATTTCCTGTCAGGCCAGCGGTCTCGCTCGGATCCACGGCAAGGATCTGGTGCCTGACGGCTGAGGTCCCACACGGAGCTTGGCTCCCTAGAAAAAGCGGGTGCTTCTGCCTGCTTCCCAGGCACATGGGATTCACACCATGAATCTCCAGCAGAAGCACACCCCAGGCACAGTGCTGCCTGTGCTTCTGCAAGCGGGGGAGCGAAGCCCTCGCATTCACTTCTCTTGCCCTCTGCTTTTAGCCTGATGCTTCCCCAGGGTACTGCTGGCCTATGCAACAGACTCAGAGCGAAGTGCTAATCCGACTGCCCACAGAAATACAACCAACGGCCATCACCTTACAGTGCTGCTCAGAGATAGCCACTCCACTGGTGACTGTCAGTAGCGCACCCAAGGATTTCACTGTCTCTGTAAGTCTGTGCTGGGCTCGGGGCTGGGACCTGACCACGGGTAAAGCTGTAACCAGGACTTGCTCCTCCCTGCGCATCTGCAGAGATGTGTGTGCTCCCAAGCACTGCCCTTCCTAGAGGGGACATTTCACAAACTTGCTCAGGCCGTTTTGGCCCAGCACCTCCAAGGCCCTGAGGAGGAGACACAGCCTCATGGGTCTCCCTCTGTGCCAGATTGCACCAGAGGCGCAGGAGTGTGGTGCGGAACACGGGCCCAGATCTGGCATGAGCATTTGCTCATGGTCAGCTTGAGCCTGACCTGCTCTCCTGTGCATTTATCTCCAAGGGACTGGATGAGGCAGGCCATGGTGAAACTCTGCTGGGGTCTTTCCTCTACAGCGTGCAGAAAGGGCCAACTCAGACCTTCCCTCTGCAGGTACAGTGGGTGCGTGTGGGCAGGAGGCCAGGGCAGAAACGCCAGTTTGCGAGCAAGTCACTTTCAGGGGGAGAGTGGACAGTCCCTGGCAGGACAGGGGCCTGAACCTTGTGGTGCCCAGAGCTGTCTGTCGGCACCTGCAGGGCAGGCGGTGGTGAGGAGGATGCTCAGCACCGTGCTCCGGCAGCAGGGCTTTCCCCTGGTCCTCCTTCCTGGCACAGGTGACCCTCAGGTCCCCACAGCTGCCCACCGCATTCTCTCTTGAGGCTGGCTATTTGCTCTGCAAGGGCACAGGAATCCTTTGCCTCCTGGGTGGGAGAAGAGAAGGAGGGAGAAGCTGCTTCCTCAGTCAGAGCAGGAGCTGGTCCCAGAGCAGGGGCCTGGCTGGCGGAGGAAGACGCGTGGAGCCTGCTCTCACTCTTTGCATCCCAGGAGTGGCACTGCTTTTTGCTGTGGTTTCTTTGCAGAATGGCATCCCCAGAGCCTTTCGACTTCTCAAACTCGGCATACAGAACAACTGGGGTAAACCAACAAACACCTGCCTTTATCGAGTGCAGGTGCATGGGAAGATGGTGGAGACAAATGTGATTGGAAAGACTCATGTGGAGACCTTCCCTCGATAAGAATTAAAGAGGAAAATGGAGGAACACACCAGAGGGATGTGACTGTTTGTCTGGTGCAGAGCACTGTCACTTCAGTGCTCCTCTCAAAGCAGCCAGCTTCTTTCTGCCTTTTGCAGGCTGAGGCTTTCCTCGGCCTTTCCTTTTTCTCTCCACCACAGCAATGTTTCCTAACCAAAGGAAACATCCCCATGTTGGAAGCACAGGGAGACATGCTTTCACAGCCTCTCCTTGCCTGTGGTCTTTGACAAAATCCTTTGGCACGAGGACTGCCTCCCATTTTGCCCTAGGAAGGAGCCTTCAGAGCCTGGCACTGTCTGGGGGCCATGATCCCCAAAGCACAGGCCCATTCCGTTCAGGGGACACCTTGGCTCTGGGGACTGGCCATAGTGGGGGTCCACAATGGGAGCAGCCATGTCTGGGACCAAAGAAGGGTTTCTGAGGTACCATCTGAGGCCTGAGCAGCCTGACTGCTGGGGAGGGGCACGATGGTGGCTCAGCTCCCCTGTCTCTCCCAGCCACCCCCCCATCCCACCAGAGACCTGGCACCCCCCGCACCAGGGTCTAGGCCTTTTTGCTGCTATCAGGTGCTCACTTTGTGGGAGGGGCTGCCCTTCTGTGCTGAGCACTGGCTAAGGTCCTTCTTGGCAGTCTGTTGGTGCCACAAAACATGTTGCTTGCACTTCCCAGACCACCCTGGTGTCTAGGCTCCCGGAACACACAGTTCTCGTTGTGCTAGGCTTCCGCCTGGCGTTCCCGAAAGCAGGCAGCGCTGCAGACACTGCTCTCCGAGGCAGAGAGAGGTGCCCACGAGCATGCCTGTAGCAGTGACGTACGGAGAAAGGACTTTACAACCGATCAGCGAAGCGCTGGCCGGCACGGGGGTTTCCCACCAAAGTCGTGCGCGCCGTAGCCGCCCGTCCTCCAAACATGTGGCATTGTGGTTGCATATTCACGACCTGTCCGCGCCTCGTATGATAATCAGGATTTCCATCAACTCCTCCCACTGCGCATGCGCAGTGCTTTTCGGTAGGGGGTCGTGAGGGCTGAAGGCTGGCAGCTCCACTTCGTCACAGCCAGAAACCTTTGGTCTTGTGCAGGCTCAGTTACTCCTTGGATCGTGTCCAACCCACAAAGCTGGCTTGCACTGTTCTCTTCTTTTGCGCGGGCTCAGCCTCCCCGTGGATTGGCTGATCTTGCCCAAAAGTTACAAATGTACCTAACTTGTCATAGGTGTTAAGTCCCGCGCTTTGTTAACCCTTAGGTTACTCTAACAATGCGATTAGGGTGTATTATTGTAATGTGTGGGGTTTGTTCATCAAGAAGTTTGGGGGGAGGGAGGCTCTCTGTGGCTGTCCTTATGTGAAACAATAGTCCTTTTGACTCTGTAACTGTTGTACTCTGTTAAATACTGGGGGGGAGGTCAGTTGTATTGTTGCGCGGGATTGTGAGAGAGAAAAGGGGGGCTGGGTGGCTCGAAGTGGTGTCTTGTTGCAACGCTTGAGGGGAGGGGGCTGCGACGGTGAGGAGGCTGGCAGTGGAGGCTTCTCGAAACTTCCCGAAACTTCTCGGTAATGAGACCCCCTGCAACAAAGGGAACCAATGAGGAAGAGCCATGTCAACATCCGAGTGATGTCAACATCCGAGTGAGGAGGGGCGACAGGATTGGCTGGGGCCTTGAACCGGAGACGATAAAGGACCGCGTCCCAGGGACCGCCTCCCAGGGACCGCCTCCCAGGGACCGCGCGTGCGCGTCTTGGGCAGAGCGGAGGGCTCCTGGGGGCGCCCAGCGCTGTTATCTGCTGTCGCTTACACAGTTTAATAAAATTTATACTTTAAACCGAAATTGGCTACAGTATTGATAACATTTTCACTAATTATATTAACAATGCAAACTAATTACCCAACCAGCAACCAGTTTTAAATCTTAGGACTCCTCTATCTCAGCAGTGTGGTTCCCTTAGTCTCACCCCAGGCCTGCTGTCAGCCCTCACTGCTGCCTCAGCCATGCCCCTGACAGCATTTCTGCCTTCTCCCACTCCATGGAGCATTCCTGGAGAATGAAAGCATATGTCAGCCATTTTCTTCCCTTTGCCCCCCCCTCCCCCCCCCCAACAGGCCCACTCCCCTGTCGTCACCCCCCCCACCCCTCATTGCCCTGATGACAGTATGAGGGTTTGTTCCTCCTGGGACCATCAGCTGGAGGGTCGGGTCCCCAGAGCCTAAAGCAGGGGCTGGGGGGACACGATGGAGGAGCTGGCGAACACTGTGAGCAGCACAAGTAGGCTGGGACGAGCAGGGCCCCCTGCACCAGGCCCTTCCTGGGCCAGCTGGTGACTTTTCCCTGCCCAGCCCTCTTTCCAGAGTGCAGGATCACCTTGTTTATAGAGCGGATTTCTGCAGCCAGACGTGTCACCTCATCCCTCAGCTGCTGCATCTCTTCAGCTTGTCCTTTCCACAAATCAGGTGCATTCCTGCAGTCATCAGGAAATCGGACCTTGTCAGATCTCTGCCCAGCAATGCGCGGAGCCTCCAAGACCAGGAGCAGCACAAACAGTGATGCTCCAGCCCCTTTTCTTTCCCTGGTTTACAAGCGCTTCCTTCCCCCTCCAGGTTTAGCACAGGGCCTGGACAGGAGCAGAAGACACGAGCTCTGGGCGCTGTGCAAGTGAGAGCAAATAGCACGGGCTCATCTGCTCTTGGTGCCATCTGCAGACTTGCTAACGGCACATCAATACCACTCACTGTCATCAGCAAAGATGTTGAACAGGATTGGTCCCAACACTGACCCCTGAGGGTCACCACCTGTTACCCATCTCCACCTTGATGTTGAGCCATTGACCACAACTGTCTTTGTGTGGCCACGCAGCCAATTCCTTATCCACTGAGCAGTCCATCCATGAAATCTGTGCCCCTCTCTAAACTGGGAGACGCATGGATTCACAGGAATTGGCTGGCTCCTGCCAGAGGAGTCACTGGGGTGCATGGGCCAGCCCATACGGAGTCATTGCCATGTCCTGGGTGCTCATGCCTCTCACTGAGGATGGAAGCACGCAGCAGCCCCTTGGCACATTCCTGGGGCCCCTTTGGTGACCGGAGCTCCCCATGACAATGTGGAGACAGAGGGACAGAGCAAGCCAAAGCCCGATGCAGCCGCCGCCCCAGCCCCAGCCTGGTGTAACCCAGAGTCAGCACCCCTTTGCTTCCCCATGGGAACCTTCAGCTGACAGGGTTAACCAAAGACCAAGGCTTCGTTTCAAAGCATGACCTCACATGGAATGGAGCCGAGTCTGTTTGGCTTGGCTGTTCCAGCTCCTGCCTACCTGCGCAGGGGGACCTCAATGGGGGACACCCAGAGAGAAACTGAACAAGCCTTGAGCTCTGCAGGCACAGGTCAGCACCAGAGAAACGCCGGTGTATTTTCTGCACTGGCTAGTCACAAATGATAACCCAGAGCACTAAGTGGGCAGCGGGGTGTATCCCTGCCCCTTGCTCACCTGTGATGTCACAGTCATGGCTGCACCTTGTGTGGAGCCAGGAACCTGTGACATCAAGGTGGCTCCTACAGCACTTGGGCCACCACCTCCTGCCTGGTAGGAGTTTGCTGTGTTCTGGTGGCTGTGTGCCTGTGTCTGGCGTTCTCCTCCTGGCAGCTGGTTTGGGACTCTTGCCCAACTGCCCTCCCCCAGCCAGGCAACACTCCTGCTTCGGAAGGAGGACAGACAGGCTTGCAGGCGAGCTTCCTTTGTCCCCAAGATGCAAAAGGCTCGTCCAAGAGCACAGCGCGCTGCGCTCGTGAGGAGAGCCAGCAGCAGCAGCAGGGACAGACATGCAGCTGGGCCCATTGAGGTTCTCGGGAACAGGTACAAGGTTCCTCCTGGGACCATCAGCTGGAGGGTCAGGTCCCCAGAGCCTAAAGCAGGGGCTGGGGGGACACGATAGAGAAGCTGGCGAACACTGTAGGCAGCACAAGTCCCAGGGCTTGGGAAACCCACTGTGAGTGGGGAAGAGGCTCAGCTGAAAGCCCCTCTGGCCCCGGGGGCCAAACCCCACGCTCCTGCTGGAGGGCTCTGGCTGTGGAGCTGCAGAGGCCCTGGGAGGAAGAGCGGGCTTCGGAGGAGGGCATCTGCTCCCCTCTGTCCGTAGGCCTCTCTTCTGGCCAGGGCCTTGGCTCATGTGGCAAGAAGGCAGTGCCAAACAGTGTCCTGCCTTTTCCCCTCCCATAGGTGCCCCCCCTCTCAGGAGGACCAGGGGACCAGCTGCGAAGAGCCAGCACGCTGCAGCTGCAGTGCTGCAGGCACAGAGCGTAAGTTCAGCGCTGCCTTTCACCCCATGCTTGCACCAGGCCTGCATGGCTCATCTGGGACCAACAGCACTGAATAGTCAGTATCATCCTGCCCCAGGAGCGGCCTGGGGCCATTTTGCCTCTGTGACCATGACGGAGCTGGCCACCGTGTCTCTAATAACCATGGGGCTACTGTAATAATCAGGGGGCACCCCCGGGTGGTAGAGATGCAGGGCCCGAAGCCTCATCCACAGTCCTTCCCCAGCCTTGCTGTCAGTGCCCTGCCTGCAAGGGGATCCTGCCGGGGCTCCGGCGAGAAACAAGCAACCCCCTCCAGGGCATAAGCGTGCCCCTGTTCGGGTCCCACAGGAAGGAAGTATGCAGGCCCAGCATCCACGTCCTCGCAGGGGTCGGCCATATGCCAGATGGGGCTCCTCAAGAAGGCTCCTCAGGCTTTTCTCCCATTTCTTTTCCCAGGGCTGGTATTCAGCTGTGCATACAGAATGGCAATGGCCGTGATCTACCTTCAGAGATACCTCAGAAGAGGCACCTCCATCCTGAGAGTACAACAGGTGTCTGTTACTGACATGGAGCTTGAGGGTGCCAGAGGGTCAGGGTGATCAGATGGGAAGCTGGTGGTGTTCCCCACCAAGGCCATCTGTGGATGTGAGAGGTCACAAGATGCTCGCTGCATGCAGATGAAATGGGGCATAGCAGTGGGGTGCAAAGCCTGGAACCAGGGCT